GATTCTGAAGCTTCATCTGACATATTTTGGGCATGTTGCAAGGAGGGACTGGTCCTTGGAAAGGGACATCATGTTTGGCAGAGTGGAGGGGAAGCGAAGGAGAGGAAGACCTTTGGTGAGATGGATCGATTCTGTGACTGGAGAGGTGGGAATAAGTGCGTTTGAGATGGCTAGGTTGGCACAGGATAGAACAGCATTTAGAGCTCTTGTACATAGGGTCGCTATGAGTCGCAAGCGACTCGATGGCACATAACAACAACAACAACCAATAAAAACAACTTTATTGCCTAAAAAAAATAGCTACTACTTATTTCTTTTTCTAAAACAGGAGCTGTTCTACACCTCTATGTCTATTAACTCATCTGGACTTGCTAACAAGCTACGAAGTGAATCAAGTCCCCTGATACCCACTTTATAGATGAAGAGGCTGAGGTAAGAAAGATAAGCCAAGGAAAGTGCTGTGACCACAGAGACACTTTGTGGTAACTACGAACCCAGGCATCCTGGCTTCTGGATCAGTGCTGTCCTCTTTCTCCCCTCTCTCCCTTTCGCTATCCCTCCCCTCTCTCTCTTACTCACTCTCTCCTATCTTCCCCCCATCCCTTCTCCTTCCTCCCCCTCTCTTTTCTCTCTGTACTCTCATTTCTCTCCCTCTGTGTCTCCCTCCCCTCACATGGGACTGTGATGAGTCAATTCGATGAGTCAATGGGATTTTGGCTTTGGGTAGTTTTGCCTAGATACCTACCAGATTGGTTCACATGTCTTTATTATTCCAGTCAATGGCCTTTATACAAAATACCACCCAGCTGGGATTTCCACTCAGTGCTCTGAGCCTGGCTGAAGTATGGGGGCTCAGGCTCCCACCTTTTCCCAGCTGAATTAGAGTCTCTGGGGAGAAAGATAGGCTTTCTCCTCCTGTGCAATTTACGGTCTCAGAAAAGACAAGGTCAGGTATGAGTTGGTCCAACTCAACAGCAATGAGTTTTATGATAGTGGTGTGTTGTTGTTGTGTGCCTTTGAATCGACCCATAGCTGAGATTCTAGTGGATTTTTCAGAGGCAGTAAATCGCATGGGAATAGATAGCCTACTCTATGTGGAGTAGCTTGTGGTCGGTTTGAACTGTGTGCCTTTGGGATTAGAATGCAGGTTCTTTCCACTAGGCCATGAGAGATATCAAGTGCATTCTAATTCACGGAGACCCTGTAAGGCAGAACAGAGCTTCTGCCATGGTGATACTGGTGTAGGCACGAGGTGCTAGTGAGTCAGCTACAACTCAAAGGGACCCTATAAACAACAGATCTGACCCTTGCCCTCTCTTCACCATCCTCACCAGCTCTGCCATGCAGGAGCCCACTGCTGCTGTCACTACGTCACTCCATTTTGTTGAGAGTCTTCCTCTTTTATTGACCTTCTACTTTCCCCACGAGTTACCTCCGTACAGCAAATGGACAGACCAGTGCTGTACCACTTAGAATGCTTGACCAAAAACAATTAAAACCAGGCCTGAGGGCTGCAGATTAAAATCATTCACCTTTGGCTTAGTACCATCACTTTCTATCCACTAGCTCTCTCTATGTTGTTGTTGTTGTTGTCAGGCTGCTTCAGAATATCCAGCATCTGTATTCCAGCCCCATACTGGTGACCAAAATGCATTTTTAAATAAGAGGCCGAATACAATCAACTCACAGCCAATGGCCAGTAAACACTGCACCCAAATTCTCACCAGAACCAGAGATCAAACCTCTGTAGAGTGAGGCTGCTTTAGAATACCCAGCACCTGGATTTCAGCCCCATACTGGTGACCAAATGCATTTTTAACAATAACACTTAACAAGAACAACTTTCCCCAAGGATTAGTATCTCCTGACAACATACCCAAAGTATGGAAGATGAAGATTTCCCACCCACACTGCTAAGCTGCACCCTGGTTGCACTTTCTCTAAAGCATATTTGGTTGTTCTTTTAGCAAACCATGGGATGGATGTTCAATATCCTTCCTCATCACCACACTTCTGCCATAGGGCTTGCAAAGCCACAGTCTTTACAGAAACAGACTTCCTTTTCCCCAAGAGTGGCTGGTGGGTTTGAACCACCAACCTCTGAGCTATTAGCCAAGTGCTTAACCACTTGCCACCAAGCTTCTCTGTCACGTTGTTAGGTACCACAGATTCAGCTATGAGTTGGATCTGACTCCATGGCATTTAACAACAAGCAAAGTAACCTTTAAAGGAATTGGATCCCCCTACACATGGACAACTGGATTTGCATGTTGCAAAAACGGCACTTGATTGCAAACCTAAAGGCTGGTGGTCTGAACTCACCTAGCTGCACCATGGAAGAAAGGCCTGGCAAGCTTTTTGAAATAAGAGGACAGCTGAGGAAACCCAATGGAGCAGTTCTGCTGCCACACATAGGGTCTCTTAGGGGCTTGAAATGACATGATGGCAACTAACAACAACATAGGGATAATGTTTGTTTGAACAAAGTGGAGAGTGGAGATAAGAGACACACCAAGGTGGCATCAGGGGTTTTTCAAGGAGAAGGGGAGAAATAAGAGACTCTATTTCTTTTTAAATTATGTTGTTGTTGTTACTGGGTGCCATTGAGTAGAATACAACTTATAGTGACCCTAGGAACACCAGAGCTGACCCCTGTCCTATCCTGTGCCATCCTCACACTTCCTGACACACTAGAGCCCAGTGCGCAGTCACCATGTCAATCCACCAGGCAGGTTGAGGGTCTTCTCTTTCACTGCCCTTCGCCTTTCCAAGCATGATGTCTCTTTCCAAGGAACAACCTCTCTTATAGCAATATGACCCAAAGTATGTGAGACGAAGCTTCAACATCTTTGCCTCTAAGAAGCGTTCTGGCGGCACATGTACTCCAAGACATATAATAGTTAACAATAATTGAGTACTTACAATGCTTCACTCTGTGTAGGTCTTATTCTGACTTAACCCAAATACCAGACCTTGTACTACCTTGTGTGGTGTCCTTGTACTACCCCCATTTTACAGATGAGATTATCTAAGCAGGTAGGTCTCACCCAAAGCCACACAGTCGGCCAGCAAAGGCAGGACTTGAGTCAGGCATTGGTCCCACAGCCCAAGCACTCAGCTTCTGAGCTGTCCATCAAGTTTTTAGCAGCATGCAAAAGTGTCAGGCGTTAACCACAGTTCTCCATGCTCCTCGGAATCCCAACATCATTTAAACTTTGGTTCTCCGGACGGCATTACGAACGGATGTTTTATGTCTGAATGTTCTCTCTGCCTGCTCATTACTTAAGAGTCAGTTATGAGTTTGAGTCACTGTTGCTGTTACCACGAGCTCCCTGGGATGCACTTCAGTATGGCACCCAGCGAGTCCAAGTTCTCAGTATTTGTGCTCCACTATAATCTCCTTTTTAAGAACATGGGCTGAACCTGGTGACTTGATTTGAATGAATGGAACAAGGCAGAAATGCTGAGATGCTACTCCTGACAATGGGTGACAAAAGAAAGGGTGCTGGCTCTGATTTATCCTTCTCTTGTGCACTCACTTGCCTTCTCTGAGAGATGCCATCAGCCATGATGGGAGCCAACCTATGGAGGAGCCCATGCAGCAAGGAAGCAAAGTGGCCAGCCACAGCCAGGAAGGAGTAAGGCTCTCAAGTCCAACAGCCTTTGAAGACCACAGTCCTTCCAAAAAACATGTGAGAGTGCTCAGAACAGACCCTCCTCACTCCAGCCTACAAGATGTGACCACCAAACCCAAACCCAATGCTACTGAATCCATATCGACTCACAGCAGCCCAATTGGAAAGAGTTGAATCCCCCAGAGCGTTCCCAAGGCTGTTGTCTTTACAGAAGCAAACTGCCACAAAGTTTTCTACAGCATGGAGCTGCTGGTGGGTTCAAACTGCCAACCTATAGGTTAGCAGTAGAGCACTGTAACCACTGGGCCACCTGGGCTTCTGATGAGATCGCAGCCGTGGCCAGCACCATGACAGCAGGACCCACCCTTGTCAAAGACCAGCAGCGAAAGCCACCCAGCTGAGCTATGTACAGATTTCCGCCCTACAGGAGCTACGAGATAGTAAGCACTTATTGCTTTAATCACCTAAATGTGGGATAATTTGTTACACATCTCTAGATAGTTAATGTTGTTAAGCCTACAGCTGTCAGCCATAGCAACCCCATAGGATGGAGCAGAGCTGTCTTCGTCGGGTCTCCAAAGCGGGGGGATTTGAATGGCTGACCTTGTCATTAGAAAACCAACACTTAGCTCACTGGACCACCAGGGCTCCTTTGCTATTGTTTGATACCATCACGTCGGTTTTTTTACCCACACAGACACCATGAGACAGACTGCCTCGTAGTTTACTAGGCTGTAAGCTTCACGGGAACAGATTGTCAGTCTTTTTGTGGAGTCACCAGATGGGTCTGAACCACCAACCTTTTGGTGAGCAGCCCAGAGCGCAATCACTGTGTCATCATCACGGCTCCTTTAACTAGCACAGCTCTGGAAAGAATACCAAATTCTACCCAACAGTGGAATACAACGCCTCTCCTCAAACACTGTGCCCTTTGAGAAGTCTTCCAGAATACTCTGCCTGAATGAGATGTTTTGAAAGGGTTCCCAGTTCAATAACATTCAACTTGAGTCACCATAATCAAAGAGAACAGAGTGAGTGTTTATAACATGCCAGGTTCAATTTCAAAGTGACAGCATTCACAACGCAACAATCCCATGACGCAAGTAGTCTTAGAGTCCACATTTTACAGGTCTTAATTACTGTGTGACAGGGACAGGCAGCCTGATTCCAGAATTCTGATTTTTAATAACTGGTTCTGGATTGATGATCTTACTAAGTTATTATGCAAGTTCACAAATGGTAAATGTACTCAAATCCAGTTCATTGAACATGAACCTGAGACCATAAACATGATCATGTCTTGAGGGCAAGAAATTTAATACCTCTCAGTTGGAGTTTATCTGGAAGGTCTGAAAAGGCACCTACCTGTAAACACTAGGCTGGCGTTTTCCAGTTCTTCTTGGGGAACTTTGAAGCTGAACGATTCATTGTAGAAAGGATCAATAGTGCCTCTCAAAAAGGATGTCTTCTTGGTTTTCACTAGCTTGAGTCCATGAACCAGTTGGATTTTCACAAAGGGGTCTGAGAAGTGGACATAGCATCTGAATGTTAGAGACCTATGAATGTAATCCATTCACCCATTTAATGCTCCATCCATCCTTTTTTCTATCATCCATTCATTGACCATCCCATCCATCTATCCACTCTAAAGTCCATCCATCTATCCATCCACTCTACAGTCTACCCATCAGTCTAGCCACTCAACATTCCTTCCACCTACCCATCCACTCTACAATCCATCCATCTATCCATCCACTCAACAGTCCATCTATTCATCTTCTCAATCATTTCGCAGTTAACCCCTCCCCCTGTCACTGCATCATTCTTTCAACCATGTCTACCTACTGGTTCAGTTACCCATCATTCACCTTCTTCTTATCCCTCTGTGTATCTATCCATGTATCCATGTATCCACTCCTCCTTTCATTCATCTACCATCCACCTATCCTTTTATTCCCATCCCTTATCAACTTATCCCTTCCTCTCTCCCTCAAGTCACTCAATATTCCTTTAGCTCATCCCATATGTCGGGCATTGTGTTCATTTTACAGGTGATGAAACTGAGCATACAAAATGAGAACTGATTTGCATAAGATCTGACTGAGGAAAGAAGAGCTTTCTGTCCGTGGCTTCTATGCCCCAGAACTCATTATCACATCACTGGGCTCGTTGTCCATACATAGGAAAATGTTGTGTTACATGCCTTCAAGTTGTCTATGACTCACAGTTACTCCAAGTATAACAAAACCAAACACCATCCAACTCTGCACCATCCTCACAACCTCTGATGTGCCTAATCCACTACTGCAGCCATTATGAAAATTCATCTTGTTGAAGGTCTTCCTCTCTTTCACTGACACTCTACTTTTTCTAAGCATGTCTCTGTCCAGGAACTGATCCCTCCTGTCAATAAGAAATATATTTCTTCTCTCTATTTAGTATGATGTTGTCTATTGGTCCAGTTGTAAAATTTTTGTTCTCCTTTTGTTTAGATGTTACTGTTGAGTTATTGATGTGTTTAGGTGTAATCCAGACTGAAGACTGCGGTCTTTGAGCTTCATCAATAAGTATTTCAAGTATTCTTCATTTTCTGCAAAGTTGTGTCAGCTGTATCTTGCAAGTTGTTGATGAGTCTTCCTCTAAACCTGATGCCACATTCTTCCTCATATAGTTCAGTTTCTTGGATTATCTGCTTAGCATGCAGACTGAACAAATATGGAGAAGGGATACAGCTGTGATGCAAACTTTTCTTAATTTAAACCATGCAGTATCTTCTTGTTCTAGTCCAAAGACTACTTTTTGGTCTGTGAACAGGTTTCAACATGTTCTGAAATGCTCATTCTTCACAATGTTATCCACAATTTGTTATGATCCACACATTAAATGCCTTTGCAGAGTTAATAAAACACAAGTAAATATCCTTCTGATATTCTCTGCTTTCAGCCCTGATCCATCTGACATCAGCAATGAACACCTCTTGTTAGCCTCTTCTGACTCTACCTTGAATTACTACCAGCTCCATGTCAATGTGTTGCTACAGCATTTTTAAAATGAACTTCATTATTATCTTACTTACGTGATATTGTTCTATAAGTTCCATGGCCTGTTGAATTGTCATTTTTTTTTAAATGAATGGGCACACATATGGCTCTTTTCCAGTCAACTGACCAGGGAGCTGTCTTCAAATTTTCTTTTCTTTCTTTTTTTCTTTTTTTAACAGTAGAATGACATGTCGTTTATTCACAGAACTTACACTTAGGCAGTATTAAAAATTCACTTAAATAAGCAAGTGATTATACAAACATCTAATAGTACAAAAATTGATAGTCAGAAGATATAAAATCGCATGGGAATTTTCTTGGCATAGAAAAGTGAGGAAGTCCAGGGCAGCACCTTTTTGCTGAAATGCCTCAAATGGTATCCCATCAATTTCTTGAGCCTTATTATCCTCCAATATTTTCAGTGCAATTTATATTTTTTTCCTTCAGTGACATTGGTTCCTGATTACATGCTCCTTCCTGAAATGACTGCCAACTCCTCTTCCATATTTTTTTGGCATTTCTGGAATCATCCAATATTTTGCCTAAAGAATACTTCAGTCTTGCAACTCAAGGCTTGGAGTGTTCCTTCAGTTTTTTCACCTTGAGAAATACCCAGTGTCTTCTTCCTTTTGGTTCTCTAACTCCAAGTCTCCGAACATTTCATTTCATTACTTCGACTCCTCCAGCTGTCCTTTGAGATCTTCTACTCAGCTCTCTTAATTTCTTCCTTTCTCTTTAGCTTCTCCATGTTTAGCAGCAAGTGTCAGACTCTTCTGACATCCATCATAGTCTTAGGATTTCATTCCCATCTTTTGTATGACCTTTTTCCTTTCTCTACAGATGATATCCTGGATGTAATTCCACAACTTATCTCATCTTCTGTTTTTAGTGCTCAGTGCATCAAATCTATTCTTGAGATGATCTCTAAACTGATGTCAAATATACTCAAGGTTGAATTTTAATTCTTGTGGACTTGCTGTTTAGCTTCACATTGAACTTGCATATGAACAACTGACAGTCTGTTTCATGGTTCACCCTTGGCCTTGGCCTTGTTCTGACTGATATCAAACTTCTTCATCATCTCTTTCCAGGGATGTAGTTGGTTTGATTCAAGAAAACAGGAATGGCCAAATTACAAAATCATTCTTTCTTTTAAAGCATTTTTATTGTGTTTAGGAGAAGTTTTACCAGAAAATCAGGTTCCTATTTAACAAGTAACTATCAAGAAGGATTCGGGTACATGATCTAATTTAACATTCATCCAAACACCACAATGAGATTACTGCTATCTCCATTTTTCACATGGAGGAAATAAGATTTTATAAAAGGTCTCTTTCCCATGGTCGCTTCTCTTGCAAGCAGTACAAAGTTAGTTCCAGGAAGTTTAGAAGGACTTCAGAAGTTGAAATAATTTTATTTTACCTCTTTCATTCCGGTAAGTCTGAAATTCTAACACCATGCCCTCTGCTGACCCCTTTGAGACCTCTGATGTTTACAAATGTGCCTTTTAAAAGTGCAAGATGACTTCTAAATCCAGCTGTCACCTTAAACCACAAGTAATTTATTTCAGTCATTGCACCTGGCGAATACAATATTCCCACCACTGACCTACAGCGATCCCAGTGACCACGGCTGCCTTAATCATAACAGCCTACAGCTCCATACAAATGGGATGGAATTTGTTACATTTCTCTAAAACTCATACGTGAATTCAGTTTGCTATGAAGTAGCCCGTATAAATGTAAGTATTTTCATAGCAATTGTTTAATCATGATTTCTGATATACTTGAATTGAGTATAGAAAAAGTACAATCAACACCCTTGGTACCAGTTGTCAGGAAATCAGGAGAAGGACTGCATTGGGCAAGTCTACTGTAAAGGACCTCTCCAAATGCTGAAGAGCAATGAAGTCAGTTTGAAGACTGAGGTACATGTGATTCAAGCTCTGGTCTTCTCAACCATCTGTTATGCATCAGAGAGCTGGACAATGAATAAGGATGACAGTAGAATTGATGCGTTTGAGTTGTGGTGCTGGAGAGGACTACTAAATATCCCATGAACCGTCAAAAGAACAAACAGATAAGTCTTGGAAAAAGTGCAGCAAGAATGCTCCTTAAAGGCAAATATGATGAAGCTTTATCGCTCATACTTTGGATATGTATCTAGGTGAAGCTATTCCTTGTAAAGAGAGGTCATGCTTGGAAAGATAGAGGATGGCAAAGGAGAGGAAGAACCTGAGTGAGACAGACTGACACAATGACTGTAGCAATGGGCTCAAGTGTGTCAGAGATGATGAGGGCACAGGGCAGGGCAGGGCTCAGGTCGTCTGCTCATAGGGTCGTACTCCACTTGACAGCACCCAAGAACAACAACTCCCCACTGTCACCTGGAGCATTGTGTCTCTATTGCAGGCTTAGCATTTTGAAGGGCAAATAAGGTGTGATGAATTACCTGATGTGGTTTTCTAGCAGCTTATAATTTCCCCTACACGGCCAGGTAAGACTATGTTATGTTTTTGGGGTTTTTTCTCATTGTATACTATTGAGTCAGATCTGACTCGCACAGGAGGAGACTGCCCCTCCTTCTCCAGCAGAGCATCTGGTGGATTCAAACCGCGCACCTTTGGGATTTCAATGTAGCTTCTTGTCACTAGGCCACCAGAGCTACCTACTGGGTAAGACTATGTGAATATGAGGTGTCTGTGGTCCACCAAGGGATTGGATAGCTTGCTGCTGTTGTGTGCTGTCTAGTTGGATCTAACCCATAGCTGACCATCCAGAAGGTTTTCAGAGGCTGAGAATCACACTCACGAAGATGGGCCATCTTTCTCCTGCAGAGCATCTAGTGGATTCAAACCAATAACCTTTGGACTGGCTGCACAGCTCCTTGCCACTAGACCACCAGAGCTCCTCTAGTAATAAAAATATGATACATGGCACATTGTAGGGAGCAGAATGCAAATAAAGTGAGTAGAACTCTCTGGTGGGGACTGGTCACTTTTACTATCTGTCCAGGCTTAAAGTGAACCATGCGAGAGATATCTCACCACCATCAAGAAAGAAAGAGCTACTCAGAAAGATGCAAACTTAAACCAACTATGAGGTATCATCTCACCCCAGCAACACTAGCAAAGTTCAACAGAGTAGCAAACAACAAATGCCGGCGAGGTTGTAGAGAGATTAGAACCCTTATTCACTGCTGATGGGAGTGTAAAGTGGTGCAACCACTATGGCACTTTCTCAAAAAAGTTGGAAACAGAAATACCAGTTGGCCCAGCAATTCTGCTCCTAAGAATATGCCCTAAAGAAACCAGAACTCCCACCCAAACTGATATATGCACACCCAGGTTTATTTCTTCAATATTCACAATAACAAAGAGATGGAAGCAACTCAAGTGCCCATCTACAAATGAATGGATAGAAAAAGTATGGTATATTCACACAACAGAATACTATGCAGCACTGAAAAACAAGGAACTCATAAAATACTACACAACATGGGTGACTCTGGAGGACATTATGCTGAATGAAATATCTCAGTCACAAATGGACAAATACTGAATAATACCACTGTTATAAAACCAGGACTGACATGCGGGTTAGGGCAAAACTAAGAAAAGAGGGGAGAAATAATGAACAATGCATTGGAACAGATGAAGGAAAGAATTATTTAAAAGAAATATATGATTAGGCATTATGTGTACGACAACAGCCCAGATATGGGGTACACTGCAAAGAGAACTGGGGAGGGGAGGTAATTGCGCAACAATGAATGAATTTTTTTTTAAGTGAACTGGGGGTGGGGAAAGAGAAGGTGAGGGGGTAAAATGTGCAACAATGAATGAATGAAAATATAACTTTTCTGTGAACTTTTGTAAAAATCACAATTAAAAGAAAAAAAAATTCTTTATAAGAAGAAAGAAGAGCTAGGAGTTGAGTGTGTCCTTCGTATATGAGATCCTGGTGCTGAAACTCTGAGACCCAGGAGACAGAGCTGTTAACACTGGCAAGATGGCACTGCAGGACAAGACAGCAGGAAGCAGCGGCAGAGAGATGGTGGCAGCACAGGGGCAAAACCTGGAGACCAGTATGCAACAGAGGTGTGGGGCTCTAGGACGGAGCCAGGAAGCTGGCCGAGTGGGGCCTTTGGGCATTTTTTTTTGTGGGGGGAGCTAAGTTTGCAGATCCACGGCACTAGAGTCCTGTGTCATTGGATCTAGGTTTGCTTTGTCGAATGTGGTGTCTTTTCTAAGGATTTGCGTTGTGTTCTACACATTCCCCTCATTCTGACAGGCATCATGTAGCATGGTGCTGACCATGTCAAGGACTCACAGCTTTTTAAAAGTATTAGATACACAAAGTGGGTGACTTAGAAGAATAAGACTTTATTGTCTGACAGTCGTGGATGTGAGGAGTCAGGGCTCCACAGTGTGGGCCTGCTGCCTCCCTCTGTGGCTCTGAGTAGGGTCTGTCTCATGCTTCTCAACCAAACCCAGAGCACTGGTGGCCACTTGGTGGATTTGGGGGAGAGAGATAAGGCAGCCTGCTCCTACAAACATTTACAGCCTTAGAGACCCTAATGGGGCAGATGAGTCAGAAGAACTTGATGGCAAGAGGTTTTGTTTGTTAGTTGATCCTCCAGAGGGTTTTCAGAGGCAGTAAATCGCATGGGAGGAAATGATCCATCTTTTCTCTGTGGAGCAACAGGCGGATTTGAAACATGAGCCTTTGAGTTGATAGCACAACCCCTTACCAGTAGGCCACCAGTGCTCTGGGTTTGGTTGAGGGGTTATCACACAAATGAAGCTTCCCTCACACAGGGCAAAGAGAGCAGAGAGACGAAAAGGCCATACCGTACCTGAACCCTGGCTCACATCTGTCTGAAGAAGTTGCTTTGCTCGGATGACATCAACATTCAGTCTCCCAGCACTCGGGAGATAATTCAGGGAGAGAAGCAGCTCCCCCAGCTCCACTTCATTCTGTAGAGAGAGGAAGTGGTCAGAAAGTGGATTCTTTCTTTTATTCTTTTCATACCCACCAGGCAGGAAATTGATTCCAGTGGCTCACAAGCGGGCTTCTGGGGGCGGATCCGCTGAAAACAGGATGTCTCTTTCTTGTATTTCTTTCAGCCTCTGCCCCCAATTATTTCTTCCATCGATCTCAAAAGTTCTTTATGCAATTAGAAGGCTCAAAAACCACAACAAAAGAATCAATGATAATGAGCCAACACGTGTCAAGCACTGTTTTAAGTGCCTGGCATGTTAGTAACTAATTTAACCTGAGCGGCATTATTACGTCTGTTAACAGACGAGGAAATTGAGGCTCGGAGCAGGGAAATAACCTGCTCATGGGCACAGAGCATTTGAACCCAGAGAAATCTACGTCTGGATCTTCTAACCACTGAGCTATTCTGCTCTTAGTAGGATACCTGGGAGGCCAAATGCTTTGCAGAATAAGCATTTTGGTGAGAAATCTGTTCTTAACCTATAGACTATAACTATGCCCACGCTTCCAGCTTCACCATGGCAACGGTTGGCAGTGTGACAGCCCGTGTTAAAGAATACCCATTCGCAATACCACCACACTTGTGGGAGAGTCACATACACAGCCAAATGCCTGACTCTTTATTTCCAAAAAGACCCCAGCAATAGGAGGTCCCTTCCACTTTTCCATCCCTTTTAAAGAAAATTTTTATTGTTGGAAATTTCAACCGTAAACAAAAGTAAGATCTCTCAATCACTCGCTCATTGCCATTAAGTTGTAAAACGTCTCCTATTGGGCCCATCCAGCAGGTTTTCAGAAGCTACAAATTGTGTAGGTGGTGATGCCTACCTTTCCCTCACAGAGCTTGGGGGGCGGGGGAGGTTTGAACATTGCACCTTTAGATTGATAGCGCAACTTCTACCCACTAGGCCATCCAGAGCTCCTGGAAAGTAAGACTGATTTAGCATCACGAGGCTCCAGGTATCCATCAGTCTGTTGTGATAATTATAAATATTTTGCCACATGATCCTGCTTCAAACCACCCTGCTTCTTAAATATTTTAGCGGAGTATTTTCAACCAAGTCCCAGACATGATGTCATTATGCACGTCTTCCAGCATCTGTCTCTTGTTGATAAGGACCTTCCATATTTGTATTATGTGCCATTTCCAGATGCACACACAGAAGCCAAGAGGGCCTAAGGAGCCATTACAGACTCATCATCACTTGGCTTCAACAAGTACCAACTCAAGTTCAAGATTCTTCCCCCCCGCCCCAGTATAATAGAGAAGGTTGCCTTAATTACCAGGGATGGAGGAAAGTTCAAAAGAAGAGAGACAATGACCTCACTATTCTCAATAATTCCCAATATGAAAAATAGACAGATGAGGGGAAAGGGAATTTCTGGGCTCTATGAGGAGAATTGTGGCATCAGGAATGGTGGAAGATCTAGTAACAATCTGCATTATGCAGAGGACACAACCTTGCTTGCTGAAACTGAGGAGGACCTCATGCGCTTGCTGTGAAGGGTCAAGGACTGCAGCCTTCAGTATGGACTGAGGCTCAATGTCAAGA